AGCTTTCATGCGCTGGTGCGTGAAATTTTTAACTGTTTTCAATGTTTGAACTATTTTTGCATAGACAAAAGTACGTAGCAGTGAAAATCATTAGCAGGCAATCGTTCGATGGACAGAATTGCACAAAACGCATGATCGCACCGGCTAGTCTAGTGCACGTTGTTATTTATTTTTTTCATTTTTATTGCACTTTTTAGAAATGCGCTACACAGGCACAAATGGCAGCTCGTGAAGATAGTGCCGTGGATACTGTTGATGCTTTGAGCACCATACAGTCAACAACTGATCAAAATGTTCGTTTTTTTATGCGTTTTCTGCATCTACGCAATGCAAAAACACATATTGTCGTGGGATTAACTGTGTGTCTGTGTGTCCGTGTGCTCGTCTGTACCGATTTTTTATCTCGAGACCTACTAGGAAAGATATAGGGCTGAAACTTTGGGAATTTAATCTGTGTACAAGTCCGCTTCCCAGTCCCCAAAATAGGTGTTCTTGTCCACGTGATTTCCTTGTATGAGCCCTTGGAAGTTTTTTGCGGTAAGCTGCTAACTCGGGAACCAGGAAAACTAGAATGCTAAATTTCAAAGGATTATTTCCTGATAATCCTGGCGGCCAGTCTCAGTTCTTTTAGCTAGAAGCATCTACCGAAAAAACACTGCTGTTAGCGACATAAATCTGCCGGAAACTATGCAAAAAACGCATTTTCGCATCCGGTGTGCTGGCCAAATATTGTGGTTGCAGCGATCTTGCCTGTCTGTATGTGTGCGTTGTGTGTATATATTTAAGCCGAGCCGATCCGATCCGAGCCAGGCCTTTGATTTTCAGTAAGTACGATCCATTGTTCGCATTTGCAGATAATTTGTCGATTTTCGTGAAAATGCTTCCAATACGCTCATCTTCTTTTTGGTCGTAGGAATGCTGTCAGTATTTTCTTCATAAATGATTTATCATACATTTTGTGCTACGTAGCAGCAGTATAAAAAGCATATCGCAACGGATTTTGTCTGTGTGTGTATGTCCGAGGTTTTATCGCGCACTTTCAACTCAGGAACCACAAAAGCTAGGCGGCTGAAAATTTGGGGGAAATGTTCCCAACCCAAATGCGACTCCGCATATTTAAATTCGGCCTACCCGTACCCGCAGGTTAACATGTACGGCCCTTTAAAATTTTTGACGGGGAAAATTGCTATCTCGGGAACCGCGAAAGCTAGGAAGCTAAAATTTTATGGCCATGTCCCTTGCCTACATGCGATTCAAAAAATTTAAATTCAGCCTTCCCACGCTCTCGGGTATCACCAACGACCTCGTGAAACTTTTGGCGAGTGAATTATTATCTTAGGAACCACAGAATTTGGAAAGCTGAAATTTTAATGTAGAGCGCCCCTACCCACGTACCACTCCGCAAATTCTTATCGTCCCTTTGAAAGTTTTGGAGGAAAAAGTTATCTCGGGAGCCAGAAGGGCTCTGCGGCTTAAAATTTCAGGAGGGTGTTTCTTACTTAAGCAGTAGCTCCACAAAGTCGAATTAGTTCCTAAGTATACCAGGGTCTCACGCGCGACCATGTGAAAGTACTGTCGCAGAAACCACTCGAAAGTGAAAAATTAGGATGTTGAAATTGTGGAAGGATATCCGCCCGTCAAGGTTTCAAATTCAGCTTTCATGTGCTCTTATGTAAAATCTTTAGCGGGGAATTCCGCAATTTTTGAACTATTTTTGCACAGACCACAGACCAAAGTGCAAAGCAGTGAAAATCACTAGCAGGCAATCGTTCGGTGAACAGAATTGCAAAAAACGCATGATCACACTGGCTGTTCTGATGGGCGCTGCTATTTATTTTTATTGTGCCGTCTACCTTCGACAGTGTGTTTTTGCAACTTCCATTTTCTACTGATCACGAATTATTTGTTACTTTTGTTAGTATATTATCGAATTTCCTTCGAAGAGCAACAAATTTTAGCTCATCGTAATCTCTTTTCTGCTTCTTGTGATGTAAAAACCTTAATTGTTTGGCACCCGTTGCTAAATCCTTTCGATACAATCTTAATTGCTTTGATCATTTCCTCATGCCTCATCTTCGCCTCATCAACTCGCCTAGCAGTGCTTCTGTAGTTGTTGCAGTCGGACTTGTTTGCTCATATTTCAGTCATTGTTTGCTGGCGATCATGGCATTCGTTTTACGCTGCGTAACTGTGCTTTAAACATACAGCTTTGCTACATTAAAGCAATATTTGTCGAAAAAAAAAAAACATAAAATTATAAGTTTTCTTTGAATAGGCATAAGATGTAATAAATCACTCGCAGTACTGTTGTTGTAATAGTGAACGAATTTACTGCTCTTAATTTTTTCTGTTGTTGCAGGTAAAGGATCCTTCGGCAAAAGCTGTCTTTGGCAAGAAACGGCTAAGACGACGTTCCTCGTTATTCTTCAGAAATAAGCGCAAAAACGTTAGCTAATTTTTCGTAATTAAATTTAGATTTTTTATGCGTTTTTTGCAGTAATGCAATGCGAAAAACGCATACTGACGAAAGGTTGTCTGTGTGTGTCTGTCTGTGTGTGCGCTGGGCCTCTGTACTGATTTTCCATCTCGAGACCGGCAAAGGCTACGGGGCTGAAACTTTGGGGACTTAATCTACATACCGTACGGGCACCTATCCCCAAAATGGGCGGTCTTTCCTGCCTGGAATCCTCGTAAGACCCT